CTAGGCAGTGAGTACATTTTACTTTGCCTTTGTTAGGTATCTAGGAAATGCTTTCTATTCATGTGGCCTGATGACCCCTACAGGTAGCAGGCTTAGTTTGGTTGATGGCCACTAGGTATTCTCCTGTACATAATTCATTTATAAAAAGCCCTTATGAGCACCCTGAAAATTTAACACCCCTTTCTTCACTCATTTTTTTAATTTTTTGAACAAATCTATTTTTTTAAAGGAGTAAGATTTTTAATGACTTATTTTTATTTTACATGCACTGGTGTTTTGCTTGCATGTGTATCTGTGAGGGTGTCAGATCCCCTGGAACTGGAGTTAGACAGTTGTGAGCTGCCACATGGGTACTGGGAAGTGAACCAAGTTCTCTGGAAGAGCAGCTAGTGCTCTTATCCACTGAGCTGACGGTCCACCCCACTCGTCTGTCTGCTCTTCAGTAACTCTGAATGACTAAGTCTTGGCCCCCTTGTATCCAAGGGGTTTTGAAAGTATATTTTAAATCTGTTAGATGGTTCTCAGGCAAGGAAGAATTGATGTTAGTATCCTGAAGTTGAGTCAGGACTCCAGTCCACTATAAAGACATGACCTATTAATGGTGATTTTTCACTCTGAAATGATATTGCTTCAGGCTGTTAAACATTAACCAACAGGAGACTGTACTTCAAACAGTCATCCAGAAAAGGGAATAATACACATGATCACACTGTTGGCTATTAGTCTCCATAATTCTTTCTAGATAAACAAAATTAACTTCTTTTCCCTGGAAAGTAGTTCAGTTGGTAAAGTGTTTAGCACACAAGGAAGAGCACTTGAATTCAATGCCCAGGGCCATGTAAAAGTAAGGCATACTGATATTCAACTGCAATTCAGCTGGACAAGTTAGCCAAGTCTGCAATCTCTAGGTTCACTGTGAAGCCCTGCCCAGATAGATGGATGGATGGATAGACAGACAGACAGAAAGACAAGCAACCGAGAAAGATATTTACATTCACCTCTGGTATACACACAGACACACACACACACACACACACACAGAGTCATGCATGTACATGCTGCCTCTAAACTACCTGTAACTCTGGCCCTGAGATCTGACACCTTTGGCCTTCAAGAACAATACACATTCACGGCCACACATTCAATAGAGATATACATATATCAACAAAAATAAGTGAATCTTTTAAAGCAACAGTCATGGGGCTGGAAAGACAGCTCAACAGTTAAGAGCACTGGCTGTTCTTTCAGAGCTCAGGTTTGACTTCTAGCACCCACATGGCAGCTCACAGACATCTGTAACTCAGGCTACAGGCCACCTGACGCCCTCTCCTGGCCTCCACAGGTACTGAATGGCCATGGTGCATACACACAGAGGTAGGCAAAACACCCATCCACATTTTTAAAATGACAGTAACAGTGTAACATATGCCATAGGCGATGACAGAAGAGGAGAACTGAGACTAAGGCTCCTCTGTTTTTATACAATTTGATGTGGAAACAGACTTGGAATCCTAGAAGATGAAGGGATTTTAGAGGCATTTTAATGGACTTAGAAATGTGTAGGCTAAAGGTGACAGAAGCACCTGTCTACTACCTCCGTCTCCAGCTCACTTGGCGGTGGGGGCGGGGGCTGCACGGCTGTCTGGGAGGCTGAAACAAGGTGACGGAGATTGCCATGACTATCCTGGTCTCTCAGAAGTCTGACTCAAGAATGAGGCACGCTCCAGCATCCTCCTCACACACACTGGCTCTGCTCTAGTACCTTACAACCAAAGCCGAGACTCTAAAACCTACAAGGCATGTCCTCATGACAAAACTAAGTCATGACCTCCCTCATAAGTGACATTTTGGTCCAGGGGCAACTCAATTTTATTATGGAATAAAATCCCTGCCAAAAGAAGAAGTCTGTGAACATTCTCCTCGTTATGTGTACTTTGAAAGCTGGGCTCAACTTCCTGAAGTTAACTGAAGGGCTATAAAAGCCAGCTCTCCGCTCCAGGACAACCTGCTCATCACAGACAGCCAGAAACACACTTTTGTTATCCACACGTGAGCTTCAGAAAACTGCAAAGGCGGAGTCTGACGCAAACAGTCAGCAGAAAACAATGAGGAACCATATTTGTTTTGAAGAGGCAAAATTTGTAGGCAGTACAATTTTCCCCTAAATTAGCTGTGTGTTCCATTAACCTATGTTAAGTGATGTCCAGAGTACTTAGCATTCCTGTATCACTACTGAGGAAAGCTTGTTCACAGTTACGGATTAAAATGACAAGACCACCGGCCACATAATTTAATGCAACACTTACTTTCCCAAGTGAGATGAAGACAAACACTCACCTTAGAGCTTTTCTATAATGAACATTCAGTCCTACGGTAAGTCCTTCATTCTGCGAGCAAATCCAACCAGGGCCCCTGTAGTCACACAACATTTGTAACCCTTGATTTGGCCTCAAAACATAAACAGTCCCCTGGGGTGGGTTGGGCCTCAATGTAGAGCAGATTCAAGTATGTGCACATGGGTGGTAACAGGGCTCACTTCACGGAAAGACGGAGAGAGACGGATCCTTCTCAAGAGAACATGCCATATCGAGTGCCTACTTCCCTCACACACTTGGTAACTCCAGCCAAGTCTCACAGATATCGTGGATGGATATCAGACAGTTTTATCAGTGTTTCTAAAATTTAAATAAAAAAATTACAATCTGAAATTTTACATACCTTTTTCTTAAAGGCATAACCACACAAACCAATGACACCAATTATCCACCCTCCACGACAGACAGATCTATGGATCTGAGTAGGAAAGCAGAGAAATCTTATATCAAGTTCACTTTAATTATAAACGGGACCACACTTTAGAAACACTGGTGTGTGATCAGCACGTGTTCACAGGAAAGGATCCTAGAAAATGTACATCTTAGTGCTCAAGAAAAAAAAAATATTTTTTTGTACAAATATTTTGGAAAAACAGCTTAAATTTATGTAAGAATTAAAAATACAACTTTAATACAGTCTGCACACGAGGAGCCCTGGAGTGAAGGTTCTTGGGAAGTCCTGGCATTTAGCAGATGGCCTCAAGTCTCCCAGCCATCGGGCTGTTTGCAGCAGAGCTGGATGCTCCCGTCTGTCTGCTCAGTGGCTGGCCGACCCCGCCCCGCCCCCAGCAGGCTCCTCGCCCTCGCCCTCGCTCTCCTTGTCCCAGTCCTTCATGCTGGCTCCCATCATAAAGTCATCTTGCAGAACCTTCCACCCTGGGCTCTCTTCTGTTTTCGCTTCAGTCTAAGAAAAATGACAGAACCAAAACAGTCACAAATCAAGAAAATTTAAAAATTATACACTTCAAAACAAACTTTTCAATATGTACTTTTAAATGAGATAAAACAAAAATAATATAAAATTGATTTTATATACTATCCTCATGTATACACCGAGTAAAGAAAAAATTTTCAATTCTACCAATGAAACGTGAAAGCGAAATAATTTAGAGCTGGGGAAAATACAGATTTGGCATCAGTTTAAAAAATATTGGACAACATTAATTAACCTTTGGTGATACCTTATTAGAAAACCCTTGGCAATGTCTTTAACGGAGTCTAAAGTTCAACCCCAACTGCACTAAAGCGAGAGGTGGAAGCTAACTGGTGCTGTGCAGCTGCTTGAGATGGTACCTCATCCAGAGTCTGTAAAACTGTGAACAAACAAGGCTCACTGTCTGACACAATCATGGAATCAGGAACTAATAACACCCAAAAGTTATAAATAACTGAAGCAAGCACAAACGTAGTGGACCATTCATTCCAGGCAGTCACAGGACTGTTGTAATAATACCTGGAGCTAAGCATACAGGCCTTCCTTTGCAGTACAACACCACCACCTTGTGGCGTTAGTGAGTACTGCAACACATTTCTCTGATTTATTAACTATTTTCCAGCAGGGCCCTGTGTCAGGAACACTGAGGTGAATAAAGCCAAGACCTGTTCTCACAACTGCAGGTAGTCTGTGCAAATCTATTCTGTCTGGGGGGGGGGGCGCAACATCTATGTAACAAACATTTTTTTAAAAGACATCAAAATGTTTACAAGGTTTCACGAGCTAATTACTATGCTAAAGCTTGTCTATTTTTAAGGAAACTTTACATATTAAGAGGAAAAATGGATCACTTGTAGCTTTGTGGGATGAAAATCTAAAACACAACTTGCACCCCAGTCCATCCCGGAGCCAGGGAAGCAGATAAATGAATAGACCGGAGAACTGACTTAGTATTTCAAGTATCAGACACCTGCTGCAATGCAATAGCACTGGGGACTACACACACTTGTGTGGTCTGAGAACACCACAGTGTAATGCTTGTCTGGCTGCAAAAGCAGGAGGCAGAACACTGGTCAGTTGAGTGCCCAAGCCCTGTTCCCCACTGACTGCTGGACTCTCCAGCCAACCCTCTAGAACTGAAGCTCCGTAGCTAATCCAGGTTTTCTGACTCAACCCCCATTTCTCTTGCTGGCACTCACGACCAACAACTCAGCAGGCCAGCCAACTTAACTACTCAAGGCTTTCAGTTAAGGTAATAATTGGAAATAGGGACCATACTACAAACCATGTTAGACTACAACTCATTACTGTGTGATGCCCAAGCTGGACTTCAACACACAGCAATTCTCCTGACTTAGCCTCCTGGCTGCTGGGATTATAAAAATGAGGAGTTGGGATGGGGTAAGGGGATAACATATGAAATGTAAATAAAATATCCAATAAAAAAAAAAGAAGGAAAAAAAAAGAAAACCAACACAATAAAAACAAAATTATTTAAAAAAAATAAAATAAAATAAAAATGAGGAGTCATGACCTAGTTTCAATTCAGTTTTTTTTTTTAATTTGGGTTTTAAATTTATCAACTATATAATTTAGAATTATAAAATTCAGTGGAAAAAAAACTGCTCAGTCTTTGAGAATCAAGAACAATAGGCCAATACTCCAGATAATCTCAGGTTTTTGAAATTATGATAACTTAAGCATACTTTATAGTCTATTTAATTTGAATAGCTAAAATTCTTGTTTAAATAAAATTCAGCAAGTTTGGCTTACAGGAATAAGCAAGAAACACTTAGCCTGAAATTCAGGTTCACTTTGGTTGTAAAGCGGCCATTAGACATCAAGGATGGCCAAGCTGGCAGGAAGCTAAAGCACCTGCTGATGAGAAAGGAAGGAGACCAGTGAGAAGATAAAACAGACACTCACACAGAAAAAGAGACAAACAACAGAAGAAAAAGTAAGGCGGAAACCAGTCCAGGAGGTTCCATAACAGCAGTTCAAAAGAGAAGAAGCACGACAGAATCTGTGGCTCAGAATCCAGTGCTCACACACATCGTTATTAAAGTGTAAGGGGAGAAAACGGGCAAAAATGCACTTCCGCCCTGCAGCCTTTCTCAGAAGGAATGCTACAGAGGACAGAAACCAAAGCAGGGCAGCACCAAGACAGCAGCCAAGGGAGAAGGAAGTCTCCAGGCTCAGAGTGAAGGAAAGTTCCAGAACAACTTCATGTCAGGCCTATGGCATGCCATGCAGCGATGACTTAACAGGACACAAGCAGACAGAAGATGCCATGATCAAAACACCAACCTTTCTGCCAGCATTGACAAAACCTGGAGGAGTCTTCACCAGTAAGAGTGAATGAAGACACGATACAAGAACCAGGACACGTGGGCCCTAGCTAACACAGGAGCAACTTCGGATGGTGATGGTTCAGCTATGTATTTAAATAGCCGAATGGTCACGGGGACAACCTGAGGGCGATGGATCCCATACAGAGGAAAACGGGGCTTCTATAAAGAATACCTCAGGAGGAATAAAGGAAAGTGTGGAGACCCTGGCTTATAAGCTGCAGGGTGGGCAGAGCACCAAACCCCAGCTCTGTACTAAAATAAACGAGTTTGGGGTGAAATGTGACTTCCAAGACTACATGAATGCAGAGACCTTAAAAGGCAGGACAGCAAAACAAGAAACAAACCAACGGAAAAGCACGCCTGCTTTATCATCTATAGTTTCCAGATTTCCTCTAAGTTCATCTCAAGAGCATCTCTGTCAAAGAACCCTGTTGGTTCTGTTTACTCAGCTTTTAACGTAATGATTCTGCCTCGTTGTCACTTTCTTTACTGTATCACTGAGTCAGCTGTGCTGGGTAGCCGCTCTGCAGCACCACCACATTTCTAACACAATGAAGTGCCTGCCGGTAGGAATGATCACTCCCATCTGTAGAAAGGAAACCGATGCTCAAGACACGAAGTCGTTTGTTAAAGCATTCATGAACAAGTCAGCCCTGAAGCACGGGTCAAGATGCTTCCCAAGTCCACATTCTTGTATGATTCACAGTAATGGGCTCCCACGAAATCTTCTCTAGCACATGCTGCTCTACTCTCTGTTATCTCCCATCAGCAGTGCAGCAGAACTGACACGAAAATACACAGAAAATGCCTGACTATGTTTACGATTGGGGGGGGGGCTGCCATCTGTACTCGATGCTGGCTTCAAACTTAACTGTGAGACACGAATGGGCCTGAATGTCTCATCTTCCTGCTTCCACCACTGACTGTGGGATTACAGGCATGTACCACCTGGTTTACACTATGCTGGGGCTAAGCCTCAGGCCTTTTGTGCATGCTGGTCAAGTACTCTGCAGGCTAAGCTACATCCCTTAGACCTGTTTAAGATAACTTCTACAGGAAGTCCTAAACTGAGCAAATTATACTGCTCTTATGCAAGTCAATTTACTGTATTGCTTCATAAGCAATCCTACTGAGCATACTGCTTAGAGCATTCACAATGAAGATAAACCAGATAATCACAAGTACACACACACACACACACACACACTGCTTAGAGCATTCACAATGAAGATAAACCAGATAATCACAAGTACACACACACACACACACACACACACACAGAGGCATGGGGACATTCGAGGTCTAACCTACAGCACTGCACCCCCACCTTCTGTGCAGACCATGTCATGCAGTGTTCAGAACTGATATGAGGCTGTACTGACTAGATGGCCTAGAACAGCTTGTCTATAACCTTTCATGCTACACTCACTGAAAAGGAAAACTGAGCAGGGTCGGTCAAATGGCTCAGTACTAACCATGCAAGCAAGAAGACCTGAGTTCCAGTGCCTATGGAAAACAACTGGGTATGACAGCATTCACCTATGGTCTTAGTGCTGCGAGGGAAAGACAAGAGGACCCAACTGATGAAGCCCCAGTTCAGTGATAGACTGTCTGTCTGCTACAGAGGAAAGCCTTCATCGTCCACCTCTAGCCTACGCACGCACACGCATGCACACACGCACACACACATGAGTCTGTGGACAAGAGTACCAAATAAAACCACATGATGCAAAGTGCCCCCAGTGGCCTGCTCTTACACAGATATTCAATGAAGATCGTGCAGGTGCAATTGGTATAAATTTTGAAGATGAAGACAGCGTTTAGTTTAAAGTACTAACCACTTAAGTTCAGACGCACTGATGTCTAAGGAATGCTAAGGAAGAAGACCTGAGGTTATTAATTCAACAGCAAATAATTAAACAGTTTAATCTCACTCCATTTTGAAGGAAGACAAGTCAAACTCTGAAAGAATGGCCACATCTTAGTTTAGCAGTGATCCGTGTGTTTATCTCAATTGATTCATCTAATAACACTGAGTTTTACTTTAATTTTAGCTAAACAAAAGTTTTACTCCTGGCTAATTCCAACTAAATATCAATAGCAAACTATTTCCAACTGCAGTTATGACAGGACCACCAGTGGCTGTCAATCATGCAGGATACCCACTACCTCACTAGTCACAGAGCTGAAGCAGCCCTCAGAAGTGCACAGGAGTTCCCATACAGACAGCAAACTAAAGACGGAGACTTTAGGACACACAGAGCAGCACAGTGCCAGTGCTCCCTGGTCCTCAAGTGACACCCAGTGTCTTAACAGGAACTCCCTTTCACATTCCCAAAGTCCGGCTATAATTTGTCTGGTTTTGCATGGTAATAGTCTAGGCACTAAGTTCACTGGGGCTTCATTTTGTTAATTCCTTGTATGGTTTCCAAATTGTGATGGGCACAGCACACTGCCTGTGCTCCCAACACCTGGGAAGCTAAAACAATAAGATCATGAGTTCACAGCCAGCCTGAGCTATAAAGGGAGAGTCCATCTCAAGCAAGCAAGCGAACAAACATTTGTTGGTTCCAGTCACAGGGTAATTTTATAAACCAAGAACTAGCATGATAGTATGAT